GTCTGACTTCGTTGACCACAGTCAATGGCCTCCTCAAGCTTAAGGGCTCTATATATATATATATATATAATCGTTCAATGTGGTTGTTGTTCATGTGTCCGCACGCTACTGACTAATTGTTGAGGATCCCGGATGCCCGGAAGAATCGCTTCGAGGTAGATTCCCCCCACGCTGCCAAGCTGAAGCGGCTGGAACAACAAGTTGTCGACGCCAACACAAGTAAAGGTGAAAAGGGCTTTGGCAACAACACCAGCTTCAACACAGGCTTCTGGAACCGTGACAGTTCACGCCTACAAATACTCCCGCCCGGACAGCGTGCCTGCCACAGTTCACTGACCAGGACAAGCCTTTGGATGTGTCACATGCGAGCTTGCCAGCACAAGATTTCCGAAACTCACACCAGTGTGCCAACTGCATGAAGACTGTGGCAGTGATGTTCATTGTGCATCAGTAAAGCTCAGCGTGTTTAATTTAGAGTTGTGTTCATTCTGTACCTCTATATCATTCTATGCTTGTTTGTCGCCACGGGTCTGTGTGTTGAAGGCTGTGTTCATTTTGAGGCTGAGGTCTGTGTTTACTTGTTTCCTGATTGTTTCAAGTTCATGCCAGCTAAGTGGTTGCATGCAATTTAGTTTCAGTGCTTGCTTACTGATTGGCGACGATTTTTATTTTAAACTACTACCAAGGATCATGGCAACAGCAGTATACCCCCGCTTGCCAGCAGTCAAAATTTGCCTCACAAACAGCTATGACTTGTGGTTGGTGAATGAGGGTGAAACGAACGCTGAGATCCAGGCAGGTGAACTCATCGGCTTCAACGTTGGATCTTTCAAGGAGTTTGCCTTGGGTGCCACGGCCGGTTCATGTCATTAACGTGCATCAACAGTAACATACAGTAATCAACTGGTGGAAGGTACAGGTCGTGTAGTTTCAACCAGTGTGCTTCAAAGTTGCTGAGTTGTTGCGCAATACAATCAAAAGCAAGTAGAATTACTGTGTTCCATGAACAGTCCATGAATGTTCCACCATCATGTTCTTAAAGTGACAACCACAACAATGTACACATGTGCGATGGAGATGGAAAAAGCTTGTACCTGTGTGCTGAAGTGTTGGGTTGGTGTTGCAGAGTTTTGAACAAACCAACACACAACACACTCCTGTGATCTGGGCGCCCGCACATGAAGAGCTGAGGCGTAGCAACAGCACCGCCTATAGATTCCCTGCCCTTCTTGGTTAAATATGATGCATGCTTGGTGGCTTGGGTGGGGAGGGATGGCAAGGAGTTGATTTTTATTGCAGACCGTGACATGGAACAGGCGCAGGACAAGTGTGGACAAGTTGTACGTCGAAGTTGTGATGTTATTGTTTTCGTAGTTGCTACACCCTTTTTGTTCACCTCTGTTAGTACCTCTGTTTGGCACCCCGACAATGTTGGAACAATGTGCTTTCTGTGGACTTTACTAAGTTCTAAGTTCCGGTTTTGGCCAATGTGCAACAGTTGCTGAACTTCCATTACAAGATTCAACCAAAGCAACGGGTTCACGCTGTTGAACAAAAGCCTTTGCCCGGTGATGTCGACTTGCAGAATATTCGTGCTTCTCAGATGGGACAGCTGTTCGTCAAAGACGGCCAGTTGCCCAAGTTGCTGACCAACAAGCACTGTGCTGTGACCTGGGATGTTTGTGCCTAAGTCGGTGGGAGGTGTTGTAAGAACCTCACAAAGCGTGTCACACAAGTTGTAAATGCAGCTTGTTGTGGGTTATTGTTTTGCGGGTCAAAGGGGTAACATTGCTCAGGTGCGGGTGGACAATTCTGCTCCGGCTTGCATTGTGGGCGTCAAGGCCAAAATTTCATTGACAGCGCGTGTGTCACTCAACGCACGGACAGCATGTAAGCTGTCTTGGTTTTTTCAATCAGGGATCAACTGCTGTAAAGGGTGGCCAATGCAATCACTGCTTGGACTTTTATGGTTCATGTCTTCATAGCTATGACATTTAGCTTCAACAAATGCAATGACGGTGGTTCCACTTGTTGTTGAGGCAGTGAGGAGATGGGGTAGCGGTTGCATAACACCTGGAAGTCGACAGAATAAGGTTTTGATAAACTACCGGCCAAGTAGCATCTAGATCCGTTGGCGCTTTGAGAAAAACAAACAACTGCACAACAACTCGTGGGCTCAGGTTGCATTTCCAGCATGCTTAATTAAGCAACAGCACATACTCGCTCACGCACTGCTACATTAGTTGCTTGGACCTGCAGCACCCCTCTCGCGTGCGAAGTTGTAGTGTAGTACTCGCCCTTTTTGGATGTGGTTGGGGCAAGTCGCCCTCATGTTTCAAGATTGATGAGGAGGCTGCACGGCGGGGTAAGAGCAGGAAGCCGAAACTAACACCGAAACCGAAGACAACAAAAGCAAAGCCGAAGGCTTCTGTAAAGAAATCTCCAAAGGCCAAGGCTTCTCCGAAAGCCAAAGCAAAAGCGAGTGCACAGAAACCACGAAAGGACAAATCAGCCAGGAATGAGAGGAGTCAGCCAGAAGAAACAAAACCTCAGGAATCTCAGGTAGACCCGCAGCCAGTCTTGAAGAAGCCAGCTGCAGCAGGTTCATGTCATGTTATGTTGTTCAGCCCTGAAAGATGATGCCTCGAGATGGTGTGCCAGACACAAAGTTTCACGAGATCGCAGCCACTTGTTTGCATGTACTGAACAGCCCATGTCAACGACAACATGTTGACACACACTTGTGCACAACCATCACCGCATGTCACCGCCCTAGCCTCATGTGTCAGTGGTTGATTTGCCCATGCGAGGAGTTGCTGAAGCAGGAGTTGCTGAAGAACAAGGGGGGGATGCAACGTCAGCAGTTTTGATGAAGGTTGCGGTGCACTGTTTGTCTTGGATTCTGCACATTTGTGATTGAACAAGCAGTTAACCACTCAGTTAACCATGATGTTATGTCACTGCACTAAGTGAACTTGCCAACTAGCCATTTGTAACCGCTTGAACTTGGCAGGATGCATTGCTTGATGCCGCGGAGAGAGAAGCATTGGAACCTACCACTAGGAATGCCAAGGATTCGAGTGATGACCTGCCCCTAGAGGGTGAGAAGAAGAAGAAATGGTTGAACATGATGAGAGCCTGTAGTGCCATAAATGGCAGTGTCAATTTTTGTGTAATAGCTTGCGCCTCTTGGACATGAGTGCTGGTGGCGATGGAGAAAATGAAATGCTTTGTGCACATGCAGCGTGTTGTTTTGTGTCAGCGGCTAGTCCTTTGTGCCTTGTGCTCACTCCTTGTTGCAAAGTTCTTGTTGTATTGAGTGTTTTGTTGCTGGTGGTTTGCACTGTTTTGGTTTAATGTTGTTGATTAACTTACATCATTCTTGGCACTATTTGAGCTTGAAAAACTGGAACCCTGGTTACAAACTGGAACCCTGGTTAGCTGGCAAAATTTTTATAAATATAATATACATCCATTTTATCATATAACGTATTATAGATATATAGTCCAATGACATACTTCTGGGAGCGTTCTTGGCGAATGTGACCCCGTATAAGTCGCGGGACGTGGTAGATCTCACAGTGGTCTTCTGCATCTTCTGCGCAAACGACTTGCGGCAGTTGAGCAAATCTGACACGACGAGGCACCGTGTGCATATAATCCCAAGCGTCGCCCACGAGCCGCTGGTGAGCTTCCTCATTCCTGATCTCAGCGGCTGAGGGCTCAAAATAGCGAGCTTCGAGCTGCTCAATGAGATCACATGAGGCGATATCTCATGGCTCCAGACACCGTATCTCGAGATGCTTCGGGAACCCTCCTTGGCCCGTTTGGGTTCACTGGGCCAGGAATGACCAGGATACCAGATCCACTCAAAATCGAGCCAAAAATACCGTGACACCTGCCAGCCCGATATAATCCTGGGACCAAGCCTTAAGGGAATCCCAACTCCAAATGGCTCCCAATTTGCACTTATCGCAATAACATTGCCATGCCACATGCCCATTTTGGTCAGGATCCATTGAATTGGTACTTCCAAAAAATAAAACATATCATATGCTCGTCCCGCCTGGACAGTGCCCCTCTTAAAAGACAAATAACACATCCCCAAACCCCCCCTTCGTCTCGTCGTCTCTCCTGTAGCCCCTCCAAGCCCGCAAAGCCGGGAGCACCCGAAGGCCTCAAGCACGGCCGGCATGACACATGCGCCGCGGGGAACATCCCTTATGTTAACAACAAAACCAATACAACACAAACAAATGTTGGGGGTTTGTTGGATGATCGATTGATTCACCAAAAAGACGAGTTCCTCTAAAAACTGCTCCCTGAAAGTTGGATGATATGGCTTAGGCTTTACTCTCATTTCTTAGTTGAGTAGGGCAAATAAAAACACCCAAGAAAGGCTAAACGCTAACCTTTGATTGAGCTGCTAACCACTTTGCACTGAAGAGGGTCAAATCTCCAGGCCCATAAAGGCACACTAGTAAGTCGTAACTATGCACATGTGTAGCACTATGGCATCTATGGTTCTTCATTCTCGTTTCGCCTGGTTCTTCACCAGGGCAACAAGGTGAAGGAACCCACAGTAAAATAGCAATTGGGCTTTGTTTCAGCCCCAAAAGGGATACCTGCAGGCGAAGGACGTTCGGCTTCTTCAAGGGCCCCGTGCCTTTTAGGGCTCAAAGGGTTCTCGGTGGTGTGAGTCGTGCGATTCAGGACCAGTTGAATCGGGGTCGCCCTTCTTGTTCGGCACCCGGTCGGGGGTGAAAGCGCGACATGTCGAGCCACACATGACCGAGCCCACACATGGAACCTGGGTATGACACCTGGAGGTCGGGGTTGCAAAGGAGCGTGCCACAAGCTCGCCCAAATGGTACATGACATCGTGCCACAAGATGCCACAATCATGTCAGTCTGTCTTTGAAAGACCTATCGAGAAACATGCAGCAAGTGATCCAGCCTGTATAGGCCACCGAAGCTGGGGCACCTAATATAATATCAGATCAAAACAAGTGTCCAAACTGAATGAATAGGGGCCACACGCCCCTATTCATACCTTTCACCAACCGTCTGTGAAGTTGGTATTGGCAAGTTCGGTTCCACATCTGAGTTCCTGCACCCAGTCGTTCCCCAACTTCGGCTTCCAAAGGCCCATTGGTGGCGGCCCAGTTCCAAAAAAAAACTCCCCTGCCTTCATACCACAGGCTTGCAGCTTCATGAAGGTTTGGACACAAATGACTTCCCGGAGCGTGATCGCAGTTCCACAAATCACCTGCAGCCACAAGCACAGTCAGTGGCGCTGGGTCAGTACGTGCCGGGAACAATTGGAATATATAGACATCTATAGACTACTGTAAACAGACTGCTCATGACTATTTGTTTGGGGGGGGAGGTGGCAGGCACAGGTGGGCAATGGTGGGCATAACACTGATGCTGCCTCGACGTTCTGAGCCTCTTGGCAAAGCTCTCAAGGGAGTGGAGTGGCCAGGTCAATCTTTCATACTGGCTCGGCGGCTGGGAACACCCACAAGGATAGTTAGTACGGTTGCCAATAGTGCGACCAGTGGACGGGCAATTGGTGCAGTCAAATTTTCAGTACATGTTTGAATGCTAGTAGCTCCCTCTCTGTCTCTCTCTGTCTCTCTCTCTCTCTCTGGCGAGCATGACTCGTCCCGGAGCCGTCTCACAGAGACACCCAGTTCTGCAACTTCCCCTAAAGGCCGGAGACCAAGGGGGCAAAAAGGAACCAACATGGGAACTAGGATCGAAATGCTAGTACTGTAACTCTTGAATACTATTGAATGCTAGTAACTCACGCTTTATCCATGGTGGTGTTCGATTCCAATGATAACACATATCGGCAAAGCGGAAACTGAAAGCAATTATCCTCTGGCACTCTAGCAGCCCAATAGCAGCACCCTAATGAACCCGTAAATGAACCCATATGAACCCCTAGATGATCCCCTACAAATCCCCTTCACACCGTTGTGAGCTGCCCCGCCCATGGATGAGCTTCCCTATAGGTCCCTACCCTTGGGGCATCTTCGAACCGTGGCGCCATGGGCCACACGCCATTCGAATCGTCTAGTTCCAACCGGTTCCAACCGGGCGAACCATGGTGAACCCCTTCCCACCTGAGTCCAACATGGCCAGCACCTGCTGAGCTGGCCTTTGGAACTCATGGCAGCTGGTGCCCTCTCGTAGGAACCACCGCTGCAAAGCGCTGCTTGGGGGTGGATGATGAGGAGCCCAAATGTCGTTGCCATCCACCACCAAATCCACACCTTGAGGAGGAAAACATTGTGTTTTCAACATGATTCTTGGGGTTGAGGTGCAGTTGGGTCAAGCTTTCTTGGACGCGGGGTATTTATTTGGAGTCAAAGGCCACCGGTGGCTCAACGAATGGAAGTGGCAAGGATCACCATGAACAGGTGTTACCACACTATGATGCTCGGGCTTTGTATCACAGGTCTCCACACAAGTCGAGAATTAGAGCTGTTGGGTCAGGCCGGCGTGTTCAAGTGAGCGATGTCACAATATGAAAATGACTTTGTCACTTAGTCACTAAGCTCTGGGAAGGTCAAAAGTGCGTATAGCTTATAGGGTAGCTTGACTGAAAATGTTCAGGCTGTCCTTGATTTGTTTGCAGTAATTAATTGATGGTGGTCATTCTTGGGATCAAGAATGTTGAAAAAACCGAAAGCAATGCTCCATGCTCATGCACAAAACAAACCCCCGAAAACAACCCCATGGGCGACTACCGTTTCCTCTGCCAAACCCCGAACAACTGCACGCACGCACCCACTCGCCTCGGCTCACCAAGTCCTCCTCCGAGTGCGTGTTGTCCAAAGGACACATGACGTCTCGGGTCTGCATTGAACTGGGGAGATGCCCAAGGAAACACGCAAAAGGAAACACCAGAAAGCTAACATGGGTCCGGGTAGTTGGTTTTTCCTAGTCGGATCCCTCGGCGTCATGGTGGGATCTCTCAGACTTTCAAGCTTCAGCAGTGAGCGCTGGAGTCAAGCTATGTAGATGTGTAACACTCGATGTTTCATCTTGTTTCTATCGGCATATTGTCATCTTTCCAGAACCAGTCGGACATCTTCCACCACGCAACACCTGTTCGGGCTGGGTCGCTGGGCGTCGCGAGAAAAGCTCCTCTGAAACGGGAAACGGGGTCCCCGTCCTGAGGGATTGGCTTGTTGTTGTACGTGGTCTTCACCTTGGAAAAGCACGTCACCCGGGATCCGACTCCCAAAATGCCAATAAGAAGATCCCCAAAGGTGAAGAAACAAAAGCCAAACGCCTCAAGTTGGAGACCTTCACAAGTTTTTTTTGTTGCATTCCTTGACTTCCCTTCCACTGCACATCTCGCTGAGCTTGGATTAATATAGATTAAAGCACACCAATGGCCTCAGGTGGCAGGTCTTTGGGTGATGTTTCTTCATGTCTTCGCTCGTTCGCTGTGGCAGAAAACCGCCTACTCCAACCAGGCCACATACGTCAAGGGCTCGGAGGGCACCGGATCCCCAGTGCGCCAGAAAGTGAGTCGCTGTTGGGCGGAGGTCTCCAGGGCACGTTCATAGAGGAAACCTCTGCCATAAGAGGTCCTGGCTGAAGGGGGCGGGTCTGGTGAAACATCTGAGATAGTTCAAGGTCAAGGGATCTCTTTGGAATCGAGGATTTAAGACTGCAACTCCAACCAATGGCCCTTGGTGTGGTTTTCTGGGCTTTTGGAGATCTACTAGCCCAAGAAAGGACAACACATGGAAATGTTGAACTGTTGAACAAACAAAACAATTCTCAATGACTAAAACCAATACCCAATCCTGATTGTGGAGGTGACGTGACTGTTTTGACTACGCTGGGACGTGGAGAGTGGCGAGTGGCCGGGGAGATTCACTTTTTTGTAGTGGTCCCGGAGTAGATAGTGGCACGGTGAACAATACATGTTCTAAGTGGGGATCTCCTGTTCTATCTATTTCGGGGTCTACAAAAACTTCTTTTCATTGGGCTGCCTTGACGAACTTGACGGTGTCAAAACTAAGTCTCTGCTTAACCAGAATGGTAGGACGCCCCCATGGACACCGGATGGGTGAATGATCTGGGGGGGTACTGTAGGTTGTTGGGCAGTCTTTGTATCAACCAAGAGTTTGCATATGGATGCATATGGCATATACCTACCCCTTCAAACCAGTCACTCTCTATCAGCTTGTGATAGCCTCACAGGCTGGGAACCAGCCATTCCGGCCCGTCTTCCGCGTTCGTCCAAGCGTCTTCCAGGTTTCTGCTTGGCCTCGGTGGCACTGCGAATGGCACTGCGAACCAAAAGCGTGCTGGTTCAATTGGATGCAATTGCCATGACACTCCATGGGACTGGCATGCCTACATTGACCCCCAAGTAACACCACCCCAATGCAAGCGTATCTGGCAGTCCCATGGAGTGTCTGGGATTTGATGAAGGGTGAACACTTGGGAAAACCATGAGCGACATGATAGGTAATTTAATCACAAGACACACGTCTTTTTCCGGATCTGGGCGTAACCGCTGTACTTCAGCCATTCCAGATCTGTCTAAAGCAAACCCTGATGTACAAATGTGCAAGTCACCCAAAACACTCCATCACCTTACTGAAAGGCGACCAGTAGGTCTTCCGGTCGAAGCATTAAAAGAGGAAAGTGATTGTTGTCCTTTGGGTTTCCTATGGGGTTCAACCCTGGTCGTCCCTGCACATGCACCCTCTCATCATACAATCGCACTGGTCCTCGCACTCAGTTGTCCCTCCCGGATCTCCACCGGCTCCTCGGTTGTCACACCGAAAGGTCCTCGTTTGTTTTCAGCCGAGAGGCTAGCCACATCGAAGTCCGCAAAAATGTAGCTCATGTCGCAGTTCACATAAATCTCCTCGATTTGAATGGGAATGATCAACCCAGTTGTCAAGTGATCGCATTTCGCATTGTCTAGCTGGTTTGCTGACGCCAGCCACCAACCAATCAATCAATGCCACAAGAACTCTGCAAACAAGTCAAACAATGCCTTTATTGATTTAGATCAAACTGGTTTCTTAAATGCACGGCCGAGCAAGGGAACACCCTCCACCTTTCACCTCTAGAAAAGGGTTTGTCAAAACATGTCAAGACCAAGGCAGTAGGGAGAAGCCACAAGGCAACGACCGCCTATGACACTAGGCCCGTCCTTTCAGATTTCACGTCCTTTCTTGCATGTCCGAATTTCAGAGTTGGTGGTCAGGGCCTTCCCGAAATCATACATGCACACATGCATCCATGCATGTCGCATACACTCCGACTCACCAACATGGAAGTGGAGTTCACCCCGGTTTATATACTCCACTTCATGCCCTGCTTGGCCATGCCATCCACTCTTCTTGAGGCCGTAACCGCGGTTATCACATGTTATCACGAGGGGTGGGCAAAATCTTTCCCAAACACTCCATGGGACTGCCATATTTGCCTACATTGGGGTGGTTTCAGGAGTCAATGTAGGCATGCCAGTCCCATTAGTCATGTGTGGGTTTTGGGAAGCGAAGAACCCACCACCTCCCCCAGCGGTGGACCGAATCCGAGCGTCCAAACCCAACTCCAACAAGCCAATCACCAGCAATTCGCCTGGCGATCTCCATCTGTCAGGCAGCTGCGGACAGCATGTTGCATGTTGGGACCAATTGAGCCATTGTGTAAATACCTCCAGCATGTATTAAGAAGGAAGCAACAAAAAGCAAGTGTTCCACATTGTTCCACAAGGAATCAGAATTACCGTAGTTGCGGCCAAAGCCTTTTGTTGAAGTTGTTCGATAGTCCAGAAGCATGACTTCCGTGCTTCTGACAACGAGACCCACGTTGCAAGGCGTTTTCCACAGTTGCACAGTTGGACTAACAAAACCAACACTACAACAAAGCAACGCCTACCGGACAATAGTAAAAAAAGTATTCTATTACAATATATATTATAATGTATTCTTACTTCTTCCTGACCTGACTAGCAAGCTAGTGACTGCCAGTGTGTTCTCGTGTCTTCATGCTTGCGCTCGCGTTTTTGCTGACCCGACACCATCTCTTCCGGTGCATCGACCCCCTTCGACCCGGTCGCGCCGAGGGGCGTAGATAGTCCACCGGCTTGGCCGCCGTGCAGGTGGAATGCACGAAGACGCGTGGCGTGGTGATGCGCAACTCCAAAGCCCTCAGTGTTTTGTGGGTTTTGGGGTGATGTTTGTTTTGCAAAGTTAAATCTTGGGATGGACAACCCAAAGATCTTGGGTTGCGTCCAAGGATTTGAAAAAAAAACGAAACAATCTAAATCAAATACAGATCTGAAATGATCTGAAATAGTAGGTTTTCCATGATTTGGTTCCCAAAACATGATCCCGACATATCCCGACCTCTTCACATCTCTTGTTTCCCTGGTCCAGACCCATCTCTTCCACCCAGACCCAACGACCCAACGACGTCCACGACGGCTATTCCTTTCGAGTGCCGATGATGACCGCTGTGCCGTGCCGGCTTCTCGGAGAGCGGTGATCAGTCCGGGTGGAAGGTTGACCACATAAACCGAGTGTTCTTGGCATTTAAGCAGTGGATTGAACATTAATGAAGATCACTATATGGAAAGACAGTAGCGAAATGATTGTTTGTTCGAGACGTCTTGCACTTGGTTGTTTGAACATCCTTGGAAACTTCAACCCCCCTGTCACCAGAGACAAGCAAACATCAACAACAACAACAACAACAGCAGCTAGGAGATGGCAAATTGAACACCACAACCACCACAACAATCCACAACATTCAATTTCACCACCACAGCGGCGCCACCGCAGTGCTCAAACACTCGAGTTGTGCTCAAACACTCCCGCCTCTGTGAGCTGAGCATGAACTCCTGGACAACAAAAGAACGCACATGATGTAGACTGTTACATTACAGTGATTAAAGCCACCCTTTGAAGAGGTTCTTTAGTCCCAAACGGGGGAGTTTAATTACAGTCTTACAATGTCTTAGTCTTATTGGTACAAGAATGCCTGCGGTTCCCCTCATCGCTCGAACACTTCAAGCTCGGTCCGGTTCCGAGCCTAAGCGACCAAGTCTGGGGAGTTCACAGGGCTGCTTCCAGCAAAACTCCCTCCTTGAGGCCTGCAAAAAGCGTTTCTAAAGGCCAACTTGACAACTGCAATCATTAAGAAGTGGACATCATGTCCAAAACTGCTTCCATCAAATCAGGCTGAAATTCCCCAAATGATCTTCCCCTCTTCCCCCTCGTCTCCCCAGGAGAGGCAACAGCGCAACATAGCGCAACATGCACGTTTCCAGTGACCCTCACCTTCGTGTTCCCGTCCTCCACGTAGTGCAGGACCTTCTTCCGCAACCGCTCGAACAGCGCGCGGTCGAAGCGACCGTGGTCCAGCGTCAAACGGCTTCCGGTACCGTTGGACATGGCCTCCACCACGTCCGACTCTGGCGGCACTCCTGGCAAGCGCATGAGCGCCTCAGTGTCGACTGTGGTGCGGTGACCCTCGTGCAACAGTGGTGGTGCGCGGTACTCGGGCCTGTGTTGTGCGATTCGTCCATTTCCCAAACACTCCATGGGACTGGAGTATATGCCGATCAGTTGGGGTGGTTGAAATAGGTCAATGTCAATCTAGGCATATATGCCATACATGGAGTGTCTGGGTTTTGCTGGATATGTAATTTAAAAGGCTTCAAGAGTGCATCACCTGTGGATATAATTGGATATCAACGTCATAGCAAGTTCCCATTAAAAGGATAAAATCATCAAGCGCTCTTATTATGGAACTCGTTTTGAGCTTTCCTGCACGAACCAACCTGTCATCCTCAGTTTGCCATCTCTGTGCTTTCTAAAAATCTGATTTCTTTGAGCTCCCTGATTTCTTTGGGCATCCCTGCCTGGATCAAGAGCTTTGGAAAGTTCACCATGCTCCGACTGGGCATGAGATCCTGAGACACAAAGAGCCGCTATCGGATAAGGCCCACGAGCTTGTTCTTCAAGTGGTGAAATTAACGCATGTAAGGACGCACAGACGCCACTCTAGACGCCACAGTGCATCCGAGCTTGACCTTCTGTGGTTCAATGTGGTTTAATGAGGACCTAACGGTCTGATCGACTGTTGGGTCTTGAGCTTTAAAATCGAAACTTGAACCTCCAGGCCTTGGTCCAAGAAACTACTAGCAGCAAGGGCATCGCAACTAGCAGCAAGAAGCTACTAGGCGCGCCCCTGGCCTTGCTACTAGGAACAAGAAGCTACTAGGAAACTCCCAACCTCCAGGTCTTGGTTTGCATGGAGAGCAAAATTGACTAATACATACCCAAGCAGGCCCGGACATGTGACATGCATCACACCAAGCACATGCTGCGATAAACCTGCTGACTTTCAACTCAATAATGTTGGATCCTGATTAGTAAATGGTACCTCTATAATGCTAAATTTTTCAAAATTTATTCAGACCCCCGTTAGAAAAAAGGTACCTCTATAATGCTATTTTTTTTTGGGCCCTAAATTTTCAATTTGGAAACCCAATTAATAAGGGTTTGAACTCCTTCTGAGGCCAATGATTATGATTCACTAGCTGATATAGCTTTCTCTAGGCTTCTTCAAAACTGACAGCTGACC